ACTTCCTTGTGGATCAAACCTTGAGGTTGAAGGCTCCACATGCTTCAGTTTGGGCACCCGGGTAGTATCATAGCCCAACAATTTAATCTTCGCTAAGATTTAACAGTTATTCTATTTCAGACATTTATTTATATACCCACAAGATCAGATCATTCATCAAACTAATTGATTAAACAACAATGATCAAAATTTGTCTCCTTTTTCAAGTATCTTTTACATGTAATCACATCTGAAGAGGGGATATGTGATTTTATGAAATTTGTAAATATGTATTGATGAATTAACCTGGTAACTATTTAATGACAACTATTGTTCACTTTGATATATATATCTTTGATTGTTAATCAGTGCATACAAAAAAAACGTTATACACCATTTAATATCATTATTGTTTACCATGGAAAACCTGGAAGCACTGGACGGCCGTTTCGTTTCAGTATGGGACTCCTCAGCAGTTCGCATCAACGATCCCACCTTATTACATTCATGTTATAATTCATTACTAACTTATTAAGTCTATTGTTATTATTCGTATAACGTAATCTAGTATTATAATCTTTTTATTACGTCATCTTGGTTATTCATGTTCATATTTCCTCATGGAATTAGTACTTTAACAAAAAACACTTTCATATATATATATATATATATATATATATATATATATATATATATATATATATATATATATATATATATATATATATATATATATATATATATACAATTGTACAGTTCGATAATAAATTCGTTGAAAAAAGACACCTTCGCTGAACTTCGTGTTTTTAATGTTGAAATGAGAATTATGATGGAAATATTGAATATATTCATGATCACAATTTCAAATCATATCTTTTGACTTGATCATTCAATACAGTGATAAGTATCTTAAATTTATGTTTATGACTAAATATGAACTTTGAAAACATTGTTGGAATGAAACTCTAACAAGATATGTGAAATAATCTTGTAACAATATTTGAATTGAATCATATGTAATGTATGTAACGTACAATGGTTCAACTTGCTCGATATTATTATGTTAAACAATCTATGATAGTTATTGGTAAATAATCAGAAATTTCAATGGTTCAGATCATGAGTCAATTGAAGCTAGACCACCATTGAAAACCTGAAAGTACTGGACGTCCATTTCGTTTTGTTGTGCAACTCCTCAGTAGTGTGCATCCACGATCCCACCTCGCGAAATTCGAGCGCAGTCTCGCGCGAGACTAAGTTTCTCTAAAGAATTCCCCGTATATAGTATAACCATTAATAAACCTATATTAAATTGACAAAACAATCAGACTAAATAAAGCTAATACATAGAAAATGATGCTGACCGTGGTCAAAATTCCGGACAATTTCAATTAATAACATCATATCTAATTACTCTTAACTAATTGTGACACTTGAAAACATGGTTCCGTGTTGCTATAGCCACAAGATTTTGGCAGAATGAGCAAACCTACAATAAGCTAACAGAATAAAGAACTTTGAAAATACCATTCCCAGTAGATTCCTAACTGAAAACTTTCCTTCTTTATCTGCGTTATCAAGGATTATATTCAACCGGAAAGAATCATGTTTTTTTTTCAAAAACGTGGAAAGAATAACATAAGTTGTACATAAGTGATTTACCTGACTTTTGATCATAAATTTATTGAACATTTTACATAAGAATGATAGTTTTAATTCAAGAATAGTACTGAGCTTATCGTCTTATCTTAGAATGACTACTGAAAGGATACTATTATGTCAGTTAGTAAGCTTATCAATTACTTTGATATTTCTATTCGTCAACTGTTATGTAGTAATAATACTTTTTTGTACTTAAAATCTTCGACATCAACTTCCTAATCAGTTCCTAGTCGTTATGAATCCCATACTATTTAACTCGATTTTATGGTGACCCGCTTGAATATCTAGGCTACCTGTTCCTCCCTACCATCTAGATATTTCAACAAGTTATCTATTTTCTTGTTTGCCTATTGGTCGCATAACCTATTCAGGTGCGGTTCTGAAAAAGTGTACAACTTTTTATTGTACAAGTTACAAAAGGCCCAATCACAGATATCTTGATTGCTGGCAATATGCATCTAAAAGAATATACATTAATCAGATGTCTATTCCTAAACTGCTAACATCTAGCTGGCGACCACTCATCAAGAAATAAGAAACGGAAGCTTGTTGAAATACATTGTGCTGAGAATTCTATATTGTACCAAAGAAATAAAATATTGAATAAAGCCAATAATAATAATAAACAGAAGCTTTCAGTATGTAAGAATCTTTACTTTGAAGGTTAGCTTATCTACGGGAAACACTGGTGTTTACTGAATCATGTATGACTTTTTGATTCTGGAAGCTACTGAAATTAGTCCGTCAGACTGGCGCGATAACGTTTGAAGCAAACGGTACTGTGTTCGAGTCCCAGAGCGAACAACTCTGAGATGTAAGTACATCAAGCTGACGAGTTCCATAAATAGGATGAAACGCACGTCCTGGATTCCACTGTTAGCCAATACCCATCTTTTCATACAGGTTTCCCTGTGTGGATTCGAATCCAATCCCTGACGCCACTTGTTATATTTAGAGCTTAGATTCTTACTATACCGCATATAACTTGAGCACTCGACTCTAGAACACTCCCAAGTCGCAAATGAGAAAACAAGTGAAAGGAATGCTATTCCAAACAGTGTCCATTATGGTACAAAACTCTTAGGTATTTACAGCTTTTAGTGAAAACGAAATCATCGTTATAGTCATCCAATCCACATACAGGGGGTTATTAGCATTTGTCTAATAGGGAAGCTATACGTATGGATTCTAGAATATTCTTCCAAAAGATGATTGTATGGACTATCTTCAGCTCTTTCTGAGCTTCTTAGAGCTTCCTCGAGTTCACCCGTGGGCCGTCCTCACACTTATGATAACAATAATGATTTCAGCTATCTTCAAACTTTAGACATTACCAATTATATATAAGTATCCTACACTCATAGATATCAATTAATACTAAACAAGCTATAGGTTTGTATGATTCCTTCTAGTAAACAGACAAATATCTGGCTTATACTTTATGAAAGCGTTTGAACAAAAATCAAGAGAGCTTTTAACATCTGTAATGTACATAGTCAGTCAGTTATTCTTCCAAGAGCTAAGTAGTTACTTGTTTAAATAAGTAGCCCAGTAGTTGAAATTATTCTCACTCGATTTTTACACTCATACTCTACTGATGAACATTACCAAGTGTAAAACCTTAGATTCCTATTTTTGTAAGGATTAACTTAGGAAATCATTTAATAAGCTAAATACAATTCACTCTACAATTCTTGGTTTATTGTCATTTAAGACTAACAGTATATCAGTTCGTCAAATATGCTGTTAGTTATAGCTCTGATTGATTACTCAGTAGTAACCAATATCATGTTTGTATAGCCCTTCTTATTTCTGGTCAAATTCCATTAACTGAGTTTAAACGTGGCTACCAGTCTAATTGACTCGAAATCGCATCGCGGACTATGAATCTCTGTGAAACATGAGCGAATCTGCCGGGGAGCACCAATTCCCTCACAACTATAGGTACACCTTGCCAACGAGTCTACAATAGCATGTAACCCTGGTCCAAAGTTTCTTATCAACCATCTTTAAACAGCCGAAAAGTATCAGTTCCATTTAGTTTGGTGTAATTATTCTCTTAATATAAACAAATACCTGTCAATTTTAAATATACAGAAGCTCAACATCCAATGAAACTGTTATATCCCGATAAGAATAATGAATGGTAACTTTTGGAATCCATTTATGGACCAATAATATGGGTATATTTTTATCTTATAATTGTTAAATAACTAAACTATTCATATTGATGTCCCTCATATTATGAGCTTTCTTTTGACCTATGAACTGTTATTATATGATTTACCATTCTTGGGTTATACCCAATATATCAATTACTATCTTCCTTATTCACAGCCACATTTGACTAAATCTTGTACAAATGTTGTTTCCTATTTTATTGGTACGATATGATCTGTCTGGTTGGTATATAAACCCATTATATTTGCAATAAATGATTCATATTGCAGAGGCTGAGACTGGTTAGGCAGTAAGCAGGATCGATAAGGACTCTAGACTGTTCATACGAGTTTTAAGTGTCATTGGTCCGATCGATAATTCACTGCTCTCCAATTGACGATATCATTACGTTATACATTAACAGGGCATACAGGTCACAAGTTATAAACAGAAGCAATACCTTAATTTACATAGTTCATTCATTCAACTAATTATTATCAATAGTATATTATACAATTTAAAAATATAAGAAATAAAAAAGACGTTGAAGTTAACCACACATACATACATAAACAGACAAATACAATACGTCTGATCAAGTATTCATTCATCTCATTGCTTTGTAATAATATTCAATTATGTTGTGTGTTTTTTGTACAAATAAACATGATATTTAACTGATTTAAGAAATTTGAAACAAAAAGCACCAAAAAAAATCTGTTCATATTTCCATACTTCTTTTCATCACTGTCATCGTCGTTGTCATCGTCGTTGGCCTCGTCGTCGTCGTCACTGTCACCTCCATCATTATCATCTATCCCTATCAACATTATGATCTAATAAATGTGTGCATGTTTATATATATATATATATATATATATATATATATATATATATATATATATATATATATATATATATATATATATATGTGCTTATACTTGACAAATACAAAACAAAAACAGTTCACAAATAAACGTTTAAATTAATAATAACAACAACAACAAGAAAACAAATCACCTAAGATTGAAAATTTTGCAATAAAATTGAAAAGTATTTCAATCGATTTTATGGTCTATTATTATTATTGTATACATATGTTCAATTGATAAAGATATTGGATGGTATCAAAATTTGATGAATAATAAATAGTAATAATCAGATGAATAACAATTACGATATTGTAAGAAATAGCATTGTCATTCATCTAAAAATTATAATATAGAAAAGAAAAAAAATGTATTATTATATATAAATGTACATTGAAATGCTATTGGTTCACTGACTGACCTTCATTTTCATTGGTTGACCAATGAGTGATTTTGTTCTATAGTAAGTAATTCATAATCAGCTGATTATTGATTATTTGAGATTATGAACCGATTGATGTTAGACCACCATGGAAAACCCGGAAGCACTGGACGGCCGTTCTGTCCTACTATGGGTCTCCTCAGCAGTACGCACCCACGATCCCGTTTGTGGGATTCGAACCCAGGACCTCCAGTTTCGCGCGCGAACGCTTAACCTACTGGACCACTGAGCTGGTATCCAGTGGTGTTAATAGACAACTTCAACTGATCCACGAAGTTGCGCAACCATCTTCCATTGTAGTGAGGTAGATACCTGTTTCTACCCGACACGGATTAGCTCCACAGGTCACGGCTTCTCACAATGGGACGAAACGACCGTCCAGTGTTACCAGGTTTTCAATGGTGTTCTAACATCAATCGGTTCATGATCTTAATCAAAACTTAACAGTCCCCACAACCCCTACATTGATTATTAATTGTCTTCTGAAAAATCTTCTGTTAGGATTATTCATTTCAATTTGTGTTATCATAAAAAATATATTTATAGTACCTCATTATAAATACCTTGATGATATTATTTTACAGGCTCCCAAGTGCCTTGGTACGGCCGAGAGTGAGGAGAGTCAGCTCTCATTCTCCAAATGCTCTCCAATTGCCACTTGCATATAACCACTGACAGGGAAGTCCTACTCACTACTTTCTCATGGTATTATTGTTTACGAAATCGAAAGGATTAAAAGCGAATGTCCGACGCTTCAACCGGATTGGTGGACACAGACAGTCCATCCAGGGCAGTCGGAAAACCCTGATTCCAAACCAATGGTGCACATGGGATACAGTATGCTGAAGGAACAAATGGAGTATGAACCTATTGTTGGTCACTGGCTACCATGTGACTGTATCTCCTTACATTGTTCCAGTTCCTTGTGGATTAAACCTTTAGGTCGAAGGCTCCGGATGTGGCCTCCTAAAAGAATCACCTGGTTTGATTTGGGCACTCGGGCAGTATCCCAGCCCTCACACATATCAAATGAGATTTGTGTGGCGCTTATGTATTTGGTGCCCCCTTGTACCAATATCTATGTGTCAAAATAAAATAACGTTTTAAATTTGACATAAGCAAAACAAAGTTCACTTCCTGGATTATGATTGCTTCGCTACTGAATTGCACAACTTCACTTTGATTTTAAATAATTTTTCAAGTTATTAAAACAAGTGAACCAATGATTTCTTTTCAAAATGAGTATATCCAATTAAAGAGGAAAAAAAGTAACATCTTGCTTACTTTTAATATTATTTGACTGAAGTATTCGACTGGTTGTATTTAAATATTGTAAATGATGTTCATCTAGGTATTGATGTTGATAGACATTCTTAGAATGATGATGGTGATGATGATGATGACGATGATGATGATGTTGACTATTACATCTTCGACGATATTTATCTAAGGATGGGCGCCTTGTAAGAATTTCTTTAACATGTCCAGAACAATCACTTGCAGAATCTTGATGAGATAAAGACAATTCACTGGCACCGGTATGCATACTTTCATAACCACTACTCGATGGTCCGCCGCCCCCACTGCCACCGCCAAGGGTACAACCACCACCACTTCGACGAGATGATCGACATACTGATGCAGACAATTTTCCACTGTAAGTTAGGATTTATAGAAAATGAACTTATATATATAATTTTTCTGATAGTTTGAGTTATGGATTAACATCCACTCAAGAACCATGAAAACTAAAGTAAACTGAATAGCCGTTTTCGTCTACAAACGGGACTCCTAAACGGTATTCAACCACAACTTGAAAAAGAATGGATCTGCTGTGGAGAGATCAAGCTATCTGGTTCTCTTTTTTTCTTGTTAAATGTTAGTTTTCTCTTTGACCTTCTCCATTATCTGAGTGATTGCTATCATTTTTAGCTCACTTATTGTGTTCCAAGGTCAATGAGTATCACTACATAAGTAGCGTTATTTTATTTCACTTGTTGACTCCTTTTAGGGAAGTCTCGTCTTCTCTATCTCATATTAGCCCGGAGATTACTAACGACGTGTTTTCATGTGCCAGTAACCATCCTGTCGAATTCTTCATAGAAGCCGTTAGTTTTAAAATAATTTGGATCGTTCGTTAATAGCAACTACCTAAAGCTCATCAGAACCACAATTCCAAGATACGACAGGGCCTCACAGTTTTCCTACATGCCTATTATTACATTACATTTAGACCACTTTGTTGGAATTCAGCAGCTAACATGTCGGAATTCAATCATTTGATGATATAGCATAATGATAGTTCAGTGTTACATCGATCACAACTGTTTCATTTTAAAGATGAATGAACTAAATCAATGAAATGTACATTGAAGTCACTAAGGTCTAGTCTTAGTCATATTGGTAGATGCAAACTACTTGGTTGGGGTCCGTGCGACTATCGTAACCCATGGTTGGAGACTCTTCATGACATGACTCAGAATCGATCACAATGGTGTAGGTGTATTCACTCTCTGTCTTCCTTCAAACTATGAGATTAAAATCGCTTCATATCTTTCTTCCTGTACTATATCCTTATACGAAATCTTTATTTTATATATTTCCGCCACTGAATTTACTACTTCTATGAATCCGGTGTTCACATCTGGTTGTGTTAATGAGGTATGGTATACGTCGTTGATCCTACACTGTAGATGACTTACTGACTGACTGATGTTCGAAAAAATTCATTCATGATTTCTATCTTCAACAAAAATAGAATTTAAAAAAAAAAAGAAAAATTAAAATCTACCTGATTCCATTAAATCCATTAGATGAACTATTTGATAAACTTAAATGATTATTATTTTTATATTGATTGAATTGATTATTTTCTATATGACATAATTCATATTGATTATGATTATATTGATTTTGTATTGATTTATATTGATTAGATTTTTGTTGATTATAATTAGTTATTAAATGATCATTTATTGAATATTGATTATTTAAATTTTGATTAAATTGATTTATAGAATATGTAACTATCATAGTAGTTGAAGGATTATTATTATTATTAACAAATAAATTTGAAGGAAGACTCATTGTATGAGGAAGGGGAGGGAGAGGAGGAGGATGAGGGGTAGGGATAGGATGGTGATAATGATGATAATTATAATGATCACATAGAGTAGATGATAATTGATTTGATTTTTCATTAGAATTCAATGAATTCTGACAAGCTGAGGTGCTGAAAGAAGTTAATTTTATCGGTTCAGCTTTATTCATACTATTACCATTATTATTATTACTATTATTATTACTATTATTATTATTATTATTATTATTATGAATACATAAGTTTTGTTCATTTCGAACAATCATCTTATTAGTTTCATATTGAATTTTATGAAGATTTTCTTTTTTCCCTTTTCTAAGTAAACGAAATAATGGTAAAGTTAAAAATTTTAATGATAATTTCATTCTAGTTTTTTCTTCATTAGTTTGATTCACTAAACTACTGAATTCTTTCATAGTAGTAGTAGTAGTAGTAGTAGTAGTAGTAGTAGTATTACTAGTAGTAGCTATACTAGTAGTAAATTTATCAAAAATATGAGGTTGATGATGATGATGATGAATAGATTTATGTTCATGTTCTTGTCTTTGTTGTTGATCGAAATTTATTGATTGCTGATAGAATTCTGTACAATATGTTTGTTTTGATGTACATATAGGTGATATATTATGACCATGAGTATTATTATTATTATTTCCGTTTTCATATGTTTGGGGATGACAATTACGATGTTGATGCTGATGATGCTGATGATAATAATAATTATGATTATGTAAGACATTTAAATTGCTCATTTGATTTTGGCTTATTTGTCCATTATTAACCGTTTCATTATTCAACTGATTAATTACATCTGATGTATTCAATGTAGGCGATTGGTAATTATATGGAAATTGTTTTGTTTCTTCTAATGATAAAAATATTGGAGTAGAATAAGATTGAGGAATTTTACAAATATTTTCAGATCTATTAGGATGAGATGAATAGAAATGTAGATTTGTATCATTATTATTAGATAAAAGTGATGGAGGAGGAACTGATGGAGATGAACTAGAATCAAAGAATAAAAAAGGAGAAAAAAAAAAGATAGTCCTAATTATATTGATAATGAGACTTTAGTTCAATAACCATTGAAAAAACGAGGAGAATGAGGCTATAGAATCCTCTGATTCTACAAACAGTTCACTATCTTCAAACCGCTGAGTTGATATCTGACACTGATCAATTCTCAATGATCATCTGTTACCATTAATTTCATATTTAATATGGTTGAACCGTACTCAATAGTTCCTTAACTAATATCAATCCATGTGAATGATGTTGAAACATTTTTATTTAAAAATTTACACTACTAATAAGTAGTTTGATATGTTAGTGAAAAACTTTATGTGGGCAGATGTACAGTGTAATAGAATTCAGAAAAATATTTCAGTGCGATGATACATTTAGGAAATTCCTTGAATACTTTGCATTTGATCAGTACCATAAAATACGATTTTCATTTATATATGTCAAAAAAACATAATATCTTAGTTTCTCCTACTGATATAGACAAATGAAAGTTGACATTTGCCATTTAGTATTTAAAATTTAAGCGTTAACATAACTTAGCCAATAACTATTCATGTTTCACCGTTAATAATAGATCACTCATTAATTAATTTTGAATAATTAGATTACGTAATAACGTTTATAAGGAATAACACTTAAGATAGATAGGATTACACTTTTTAATGGAGGAGAATACATACTTAGTTAAGTTTATTATTATTATTATTATTATTATTATTATTGTTAATGGCTTTATTCAATATTATATTTTGGTACAATATAGAATTCTCAGCACAGGGTATTTCAACAAGTTACTTACGCAAAAAAAACCCAGAAACAAAGACAAAAAAAGGAAAAAAAGGTCTAAAAAAAAGAAATCTGAAAAACTGTACAATACACTTGTCACTATCCATCTTTGCATATAATGATCTACAATAGTTTGCACTTAAATAGAATACAGTTGATAGCTTAGTTAGTTATTTCTAATAACTAACAATCTTATTTGTTTTGTCTTTCTATGATGAATCAACTCCATCAGTTCTAATCTCATAATATTTTTCTTGTTCAATATTTAAATTCATGTGTCTATATCAGCTAGATCACCATGGAAAATTTGGAAGCATTGGATGATCATTTCATCTTAGTATGGAACTTCTCATGTTATCAGATTACATTAAAATCTATTAAAATTCACTTCATTATTATTTATTATTGATATACTACCTCGAGAATTGAAAACGGATGTGACTTAAGATCGACTTAAATACTACAACATTATAAGTAAGTAAGTAAGTGTTGAAGTAAGTAAGTAAGTAAGTAAGTAAGTGTTGAAGTAAGTAAGTAAGTAAGTAAGTAAGTAAGTAAGTAAGTAAGTAAGTAAGTAAGTAAGTAATTAAGTAAGTAAGTAAGTAAGTAAGTAAGTAAGTAAGTAAGTAAGTAAGTAAGTAAGTAAGTAAGTAAGTAAGTAAGTAAGAAAGGAAGGAAGGAATGTGAGTATTTAATTCATAACTATATTAATATACTCTTACTTATATAATGAAACTCCTTGTCTATTATCCAATGTTTCATTGAATTTTAATCGATACATTGAATTCATTAATGAATCATTTTGTTTTGTATAATTTAATGAACCAATTGCCGAATCATTCAATGTGGATGGTGTTATTGAATGAATAGAATAATTTGAATAATTTTTTTCTTTTATTAAATGTGATTTTATTGAATTCTTTTTAGTGATCATATTTGAACATGAATCATTTAAACATTGATATGAATTATTACTACTGATATGATTATTAGTAGTATTATCATTAGTAGTAGTATTAGTGGTAATATCATTAACATTATTGTTACTCTTCTTATAACCATTATTACATAATGAACAATTGATTGTATTATCAAAATCAATTAATTGACATGAATGTGGTGTACTAATTGAACTGACCCATTCAGCAACACGAAATAATGAATTATTAAGAGTATTACTAGTAATATGAGTTGAAACATTATGATTATTAATACTATAACTATTATTATTATTATTATCATTATTACTGCTATTATGTAATAAGCTATTTGTCAATTTCCTATCAACTTCTGGTGTATTCAATCTTGATCGTGTTAAATGTTGGCATTTCAGTTGATTATGACTACAATGATCTTGTTGATTAGATTGTTGTTGACATTGATCATTGATCGATAGATTAAAGGGAACAATAGTGGATTGTGAAATGTTTTTATCATTAGCTTCATTGTTCTCTATAAATTTCATACTAAAAAACAAAAAAACACAAACAATTGGAATAAAGATTTGTTGGTTCAGTAAAACATTTAATCATTATGATACATGATGATTTAGAGTGGAGATTGTTTGATTATGATCATGAATCGATTAATGTTATATCATCATTGAAAACATGGAAGTACTGAACAGCCGTTTCGACTTATTATGGCACCACTCAACAGTGCTCATCCACGATCCCGCTTGCAGGATTTGAACCCACGACCTTTGATCTCGCACGCCAATGCTAAACATCTAGATCAGTGCGCCAGCATCCATCGGTGTTAATGTCTAACCTCAACCAATCCACGAAATTGCGCAACCATCTTCTATAATACTGAGGTAGACACCTGTCTCTACCAGGTTTTTAATGGTGATCTTACATCAATCGATTCATGATCTTATTCAAAAACTTAATAATCTCCATGACCTCATACTGATACTGATAAAAGCTTTTATTTGATGAGAGAACTATTGAAAAACATAGACTACTGAAGAATGCGTCCACACCAGCGACCAAATAAGGTATTGAATATTGAACCTTCAAATTTAGCGATCCAATTGTATTGAGTCCCCTGAGGCATTCAGTTATTCAAGCCGTATCTTATCACTGATAACATTTAGAAATCAATGTTTATTTCTAGACTTATTTATCCAACTAACGTTGAATCACACCTTATATTATAGAGCAAATCATACCAATCGAATACTTAAATGATATAAAGAAGACATAATTTCAGCCTTTTTAACCCAGTGACTAAAAGTAGAACTCAACATTCCATCAACAATTATAGACTTTGAGTTCACAGAGTTCAATTATCTGTCACAATTACAGAGTACCATACTATTGAATTAAGTTTATTGGTCCCCTTATTAGAATAAAACCATTACCAGTAATAAAAACAATTTACTTATTATAATAATAAGGTGAAATCGTTACTCTCCCAGTTTTTTATCTGGGAAAAAACTGTGAATTCTCCAAATGCATTTTGCCTTCATTTCTCTTAGTCTATAATTTTAGCGTATTGTACCATACTACTTAATAATATTCAGTAATTAACTTTACTTTTCATGATTTTCAGTATATGGTGTACCACACTTCATTATTCTTGTATGGCACTCCTAAGTACTCACATAAATTCGTAGTATTCAACACACTTATTACTATAATGGCGACTTCTCAACGTTTGTAAGAATTGCTTCCAGTTTTCGTGCATTCACTGGATCTCTGCTTAAATGTAATAGTCTCCAAATTTTACATACCTAATCTCCGTCCTGAAAGTTAACGGTCAGTATTGGCTTTAGACATACACAGTTGCTAGCGACTGCCTCCCAATCCTATACACTGGCGTACTGAATCCCAAAAAAACACCTCAGGAACTAAGGTCTGTAGTACCACTTTCTAGACAAAATCATTGTTTTAGACCCAGATTGTTCCCAGTTAACTCTATCGCATAATCAGACACTTCGATCGAATAACATTATCCTAAAATTTCCAACCCCTCCCCCCCAATTATTAAATAACAAAGAACTAGTGATATGATCACAACAACAAAATACATCATATTACAACACTGAAAGTATACAAGACAATTATTATTACCTTGGTGATAAAGAAATTCGATTCTCTGAATTTGATGTATTAACCATATCATGGATAGTAATAGGTTGTTTTAATTGATTGACAAATTCTTGATTTAATAATGTTGATTTAGTATTATTCATGTTTAACATTAATTCTTCATCTTCATTTAAATGATTTAAATACTAATTAATATAAAATGAATATTTTAAGAAAAGTTAATTTAGCCATTTTAGTCATTATCTAATATTAAATTATATAATATTTACAATTCAATTGTTTTCCCTTGACTGTGTCCATATAATCTGTGGTGAAGTTGAATCAATGTACACCTAATGATATGAATCAGTCGACCAAAACTAGACCACCATTGAAAACCTGAAAGCATTGGACAGCTGTTTCGTCCTAATATAGGACTCTTCAGCAACGTGTATCCATGATTCTACACGCAAGACTCAAACCTAGGACCTTCATTCTTGTGTGCAAACGTTTAACCTCTAGACAACTGAGCTGGTATCGTGTCAGGCTTGAGACAGTTATCCACCTCAGACAATGGATGAAGGGTTGTGGAAGATCAAGGATCGACTGTATTTGGAAATTAACACTGCTAGATGCCGGCTCACAGGTCTATAAGTCAAACGTCCGCTCGCCAAACCGAAGATATTGGGCTGTAGTCCCACGTGCCACACATGTCCCAGCCATCTCAACTGATGAAGTTTCACTACTTCATCAATTGATTTTCCATCCTTACCTAGTACTCGTTTCCTAACAACTGCATTACTTACTCGGTGGTCCTAGGATATACGAGCAATGCTTCTAAGACACCTATGATCGAATACTAGTAACCTACGAACATCCTCTACTCTTACCCGTCATGTTTCACAGCCATAATGTAGGACGGAACGACCAGCTGCACAGTAAACCCGTTCTTTGATTGGTAGACGGATATCTCGCCTGCTCCATAAATGACGCAAGTTGGCAAAAGCTAGACGAGCCTTCCTTATCCATGCTGAGATTTTGTCACATACCAGACCACAAGGGTTGATGAGACTTCCAAGATAAGTGAAGCGGTTTACACGCTCAACTACTTCACTCCGTATCATTAGTACATGTGTCGATGCAACCCAATCCTGAAGCAACATTTTGCATTTACTAAAGTGTAGACTCTTCCTATTTGAAGTCTACAAGATAATTTAGAATTTTGGATGACATGAATTCAAAAAAAAAGAAGATTAGTTCCTAATCTTCAACATTTTCAATGTTAACAATTAATTATACATTTTATTGTACAGTAAGATCGGTTCCTAAATGATTAGATTTCCCACGTTTATTTATGCTCTACATCATTAATGTCATGAATAAGTTTATTTAAACAAAATTATTTACAGTAAATTTCACTATTGAGTTTCATAAACAGAATTAACATGAATTAAAATAAGCAGATATTATTTGTTACTACCCTGTTAACATTTTTTGGGCAAAAAACTTACTTAACTCTACTTACCTGAGGTACATTTACAGTTGTTACATAAGATGTTGGAATTGTGTAATTATTACACTTTGATGCTTCACGGATTTGTCTTCCAATATCAAGTAATACTTCTGTAGGCCTAGTATTATTATTATTAGTAGTAGTAGTATTCATCATAGTAGAAAGACTAGAAATATTATAATCTGTATTTTCTAAAACAGAATGAAAGAACGATTAAATAATAGTTAAAAACTAATAAGAATTTTATTGGTAAGAATTATATTGAAAAAGGAAAGTCCTCTGAATTTTAATTTGTTTCTTTAAACTACTTTAATTAGAATGTAGTAGGCAAAAAGAAATCAATAAAATAATTCGGTATGATGATTCACTGTTGGTTAGAGTTCACTCAATACAGCTTAGATCTCTCATTAACCTCTAGAAGTATAGCGAAACATGCTAGAAAATACAAACTAAACAATTAAAAACTAACAAGTCTAATACCTTCTTTTAATTTCAAGTGCTATCAAATTATAACAAAATTATTTTATTGAATCTATCTTTAAATCATGATTGATGTTGTCTTCACAAAAAAATTCGGTGAGACTATAATTTATGGACGACCTTTGAGCAATGCTAGACTGACCTTGAGAGTATCCACTTATTAGCCAAGACTAAATGAGGGATATGAACCTGTATGAGAAATTAAAATTATAATTTACGGTTGATGATTAAGCTTAGGAATTAGATATAGGGTTTTCATCACGAACTGACATCAGGTAAATGAATTCCACGCCAAAATCAGAGACCTGATAACTTATGCCTGATTGGTTCGTGAATAAATTATAGTCTCGCCGACTACGATATTGACTTTCTAATCAATTTTTAGTCGACTGAAAATTATTACGTTTAACCATTTTATTTATTTATTTATTTATTTAAACAAATGAACATTGGTAAAAGAAGGCACCAAATAGATATACACCACATAAGTCATTCGGTTTATGTGAGAGCTGGAATATTGCTCGGGTGCCCAAACCGAAATAGGTGGTTTTCTTAGGGAGGCATCCTCCAGCCTTTGATCTAAAGATCTGGTCCACAAGGAAGTAGAGCAACGTCACGAGATGCAGTCACATTGTAGCTGCTGACTAACGATTGATTCATACACCATTTGTTTCCCCAGGATCCTGGAGCCCATGTATACCATCGGTTTGGAATCATGATTTTCCAACTCCCTTAGGTAAAACCTTCGTGTCCATCAACTCGGATAAAGTGCCAGACATTCGCTCTTCGTCCTCTTAATTTCGTAAACAACAGTAATGCCGCGAGAAGTCAGTGAGTAGGACTTCCCTGTCAGTGTTTGTATGCATGTAGCCACTTGGAGAGGGAGAACTGACTCTCCTCACACTCGACCATACCAGGGTATTTGGAAACATTTAATCAAGCAAACCAGAATGCAAAAATATAAAAGAGGGTTTATTTTATCAGTACTCATCGTTAAATTCAAATTATATACTAGTTTTAAAGCATTAGTAGAGCATATCTACAATTTAGCATTCCCTCCTAAGTATCTTCAACCAAATACCATCAAACAGATATGAAGTCACTTAATCTAGTGATCATGCATTACAATATATTTGACACCATCCGACTAATACTACCAAAGGATAACATGAAAAAATAATAAAATCGGTTACTGATTATTCAATAATTAAACTTATAATGAAGTTTTTGTTCACTGAACTGGATGATTTGGTCATGAAGCTTTCATCGTTCTTCTAAACGATATCATCACCAGCACAAAGTTCAGGTAGAGGTGAAGTGTTTGAATCTCTCGGCATCCGGTTCACAGCTTGTCTTGTAGACCTCGATGTTGATTAGTTCTAGTTTATGCTAATGATGTCGTACAGAAGAATGATGAAAGCTCCATGATCAAACCATTCAGCTCAGAGAATAGAACTTCATCAAAATCATCCATCGGAGCTACAAATCTTCTCCACTATCTCAATAATCAAATTAGAGTATCAAATAAAACTTTTTAACTAATAATAATAATCTCACTTTGTTTTTCATTCAACATACTACTTATTGACAATTGACAACAACTTGTATATAAATTATCAAATGTTAATAAATTAGTTGTTAACAAATTAGTTGATAATTCATCTTTTAATGATAAATTAATCATAGATTGTTTTATTGAATTTGATTCATGAATTGTTTCAGCATCTTCGGTACATTCGGATATATCAGATAATGCTCTTGGTATATTATCAGTTGGATTATTATCTAATGTAGAAAATGATCTATTCATTGAATTACTACTGAAATGATTTTCAGTAGTAGTAGTAGTAGTGGTAGAAGTAGTAGAAGTCGTGTTAAAATTTTGAATTGATTTATGCATAGATGTAGTGTGTATATTTTGCGCTTCAGTTGAATTTATAATCTGAAATAAATAAATTTTATTAAAGAAGAGCTTTGATAGATACAACTAAGCATAAGTAAACACAGATAATCATAACTTACTTCGTGGAGGAGCATAGGCCACCCATCAGCATTCTCCATCCAACTCAGTCCTAAACAATCCTTTCCAGCTCTTTCCAGTTCTTATTCATAATTTTCATATCTCCTTCCATTTACCCACGTAATGTGTTCTCTGACCATCCACTTTTCCCATCCCACTCATGAGTTCAAGTTAGAACTTGTCTCGTGATGCAGTCTGATGATTTCCTCAATTAATGTCCTATCCATTTCCATCTTCTTTTCCTAATTTCCTCTTCAGCTGGGAGCTGGTTTGTTCTCTCCCATTGTAGGCTGTTGAGTGTACTGCGTAGACAGCTAGTTATAAATACTTGTACCTTCTTTATGATGGATGTATTAGTTCTTCAAGTTTCAGCTCGGTATAAAAGAGCTGTTTTGATTATTCGTATTGAAGATTGTGACTTTGATATTGGTCGATAGACAGTTGTTTTGAGTTCCATATATTCTTCAAAAGTAAGAATGCTGTCCTTGCTTTTGCAATCCTCGCCTTTCCATCTGTATCTGATCCTCCTTGTTCATCGATGATGCTTCCCAGGTACATGAAGGATTCGACATCTTTCAGAGTTTCGCCATCAAGTGTGATTGGTTTGGTGTTCTCCGTGTTGTAATTGAGGTCCTTGCTTTTTTCGTTTGTGTATGTTGAGGCTTACTGATTCAAAGGCTGCTACTCATAACTTATTAATAGTTAAATTTAATTACTCAACTGCTATCAATCTTTTTATGACACTCTGTAGTGAATTTGCTTCGTTAGCCGATCACCTCGATAACTGTTATTATGCATAAATCTCAATGGTGTTTTAAATTAGAAGACCATAAGAAGCGGCGATTACAGTTTGTTAGCTGATAGTACGGGTAACAAATCTAAAATCGCATGGAGTGAATTTGAAGCAGAGAGGTGAATGTTTATGTACGAGCGAATACAGAGGCGAATTTATGGTCGAATCAAATCAAGGTGTAGATAGGAAAGACAAAAGCTAATGATAGGATTCGAGCACAAATATACATGAGAAAGAGGAGGATTTATCGGGCGATATTTAAGCGATTAACATTTAAGCTAGAGAGAGATATATATGCGTAGGCTATCACATGTGATCATAATAGTACAATGAAATAGATGAGTTGCTACTATTAGAATTACATTGTCTGTTAAGTAAGTTAATAAAAGGGCTTAATAAAATTTAATCATAATCAAAATTGATTGTAGAAGAGTTGCTATAACACAAAAGGGGCCTAAATCGCTGCTTTACAATCATATATTTAGGATGAGTATAATTCAAGTGTACCAAGTTGAGAGATCCACATATGATGGAATGATTTTTATCTAAATATAGATTGTATATACTATATGTTGATAACAGCCTCTGTATAGTATACTCTCCACCTTGGTCCCTAGATAGATATCTTACCTACACAAGTCGACAAAAAGTAAGCAAACTTTCTAAATCTGCTCTAGGACTTCCTCAGACAGCATCCTATCAACTCTGATGAAACTTTCATGATAAATAAATTGATCAGTTCACTCAAATATTTCACTCCCTTTGATCAATCCAGACAATGATATCAACCAATAAGTAACACATCCAAAACATGTTTACATTTTTACTTAAGGCAACCAGAAGACCCTTCATTTTATCAAAATGTTTACTAACTATACCCTAATAACGTTTTTTCTGTGGGTAAAACAATAAAAAAATCTCAATGGTTGAGACCATGGGTCAATTAAAGCTAGATCATCATGAGAAATCTTAAATCACTGGATAGCTGTTTCGCCCTAGTACAGGACTTCTCAGCAGTGCGCATCCACGATTCCACCTCGCGATATTTGAACACAGGACCTAGAAGTCTCGTGCGCGAACGCTTAACCTCTAGACCACTGAGCTGGCCGGCATCCAACGGTCTTAATGTCTAACTTTAATTAATCCACCATTGTCTCCAAAGAGTTACTATCTCACAACAGGTCTGACTGAACTCCACTGGTCACTACTTCACACTAGAACTTCAGGAAATACCTCTTCATGCCATTCACTAGTGAGTATATGTTGATTAGTATCAGAAGGAGTTTCAATTGACTCATGATCTCAACATCCACAAAACCCTTTTTGACATTTATTTTAAAAAATCATTTAACATACTGGTTCCTCTTTCATTTGTTCGCATAATTCCTCTGTATTTGATAGAAATGATGTTTTAATATGATCTTTAATCAAATTATGCACAACATTATGATAGGATGGTGGTGGTGGCGGTGGCGGTGTCAGTGTCGGTGTCGGTGTCGGCGGTAACGGCAACGACGGTTGTGAAGAATTATTCATTTCACTCATAAATGAATTATCTTTATAATTTGATAAATTTACAATATCATTTCTTTGTTTAACCAATGATGATAATGATACATTTGGACCATCAATCCAAGTTTCTTCAATTCTATTATTATTCGTTATCATTTCTGATGTTTTCATTGAAGTTGGTGATGATGATGATGATGGTGATGTTGTGGTTGCTGTTGTTAAAGATTGTAAAAATTTTCTAGATTTTGTTCTATTCATAATACGAGGCCATACAGTTGCATTTGTTCTAGGAATCATTCGTTTAATTGTTATTAAATTATTCATATTTGGGAATTCAGTATGTTGATTCTATTTAGATATAAAAAAAGGTATGAGAAGTAATGAGTTTATTCTGGAGATTTACATTGTGACATGAATTCAAGTGTTATATGATTTCGTAAACAACACCCCAGTCGCGAGAAGTCAATGAGTAGGACTTCCTTGACAGTAACTGTATACGCGTGGCCATGTGAGAGTATTTCGAGAGATAGCGCGGCTCTCCCTACCCTCGACCATACTAGGGCATTTGGGAGCTTTATTGTATAGATACATGAAGACAATGGCTGATCCATGTAGGTAAGTGAAGACTATCTTGTTGGGTTCCATATGATTACTGCAACCAATGTTCAAAGATTTTGGGTGACATGATCCAAAGTCATTCGTAATGGAGTAGGTGAATTTACTCTTTATCTTCTCTTAGATCCTAAGTTGCTGAGCTTATCATAAACTCTTTTTTCCACTATTCTACTGATCTATATTTTCCCAAATGGTATTTTTGATCCCTAATCTTTCTTATTACCACTCACGACTCTTGCTACCTCTAACACTCTGGGATTCACACTGACAGTTTCATCTCGCTGTACTAATGAGACACGGTAAGGTGAACCGATATACTTATGTTCAAGATTCTAAATTACTTTTGACCGATTGATTGAGTTCATTTTATATCTAAGAAATTTTATTATGATAATAAAATATATGTCAAGTGGTTTATCAGATCGACAAAGCAAGGGCCGCATTCCTACTATTGAAGAATATATGGAACTCAAAACAACTGTCTATCGACCAATATCAAAGTCACAATCTTCAATGCGAATAATCAAAACAGTTCTATTATACGGAGCTGAAAATTGAAGAAATAATACATCCATCATAAAGAAGGTACAAGAATTTATAAATAGTTGTCTATGCAAGATACTTAACATCCATTGGTCGGATACGATCAGCAACAACAGCCTACTGTGTGAAAGAACAAACCAGCTCCCAGCTGAAGAGGAAATTAGGAAAAGAAGATGGAAATGGATAGGACATTAATTGAGGAAATCATCAGACTGCATCACGAGACAAGTTCTAACTTGAACTCATGAGTGGGATGGGAAAAGTGGATGGTCAGAGAACACATTACGTGGGTAAATGGAAGGAGATATGAAAATTATGAATAAGAACTGGAAAGAGCTGGAAAGGATTGTTTAGGACTGAGTTGGATGGAGAATGCTGATGGGTGGCCTATGCTCCTCCACGAGGAGTAACAGGCGTAAGTAAGTAAGCAACTAGTTCTTTATCATTCTCAATGATCCGTTAACTGATCTTGATCAGTGATTTAAACTATATTGGAATTGAAAAACTATAATATATGTCCAATATTTTTTTTACAAATCTGTCAATTCTTGTGAAATTTACGAATACTTTATGTATTCATATTGTACTGTAAGTGACCCAACTTGGAACCACAAAATTTTATGATTATCTCTTAATTCTCAGATCATTAATCTTCCATAAGATGGTTTAAATTTTTAACTTCAGTTATGACACCACATTCATTCAAACCTATCAATGAATAAGTGGTTTTCACTCGATATTGGCTCAAATCCACTATTCACAATTTCTTACTAGAACACTTGGAATTACCTCTTAAAATTAGTCACTATTGTATACACGTTTAGGATAGCCTTTGTATGGAACTTTTGAGTAGAATAGATTCATAACCCAATACTCTTGGTGAAATGGCTCAGAATCGACCACAATGGTGTCGGTGTATACACTCTCTGTCTTCCTTTAAACTAAGAGATTGAAATCGCTTCATATCTTTCTTTCTACGAACTAATTATTTCTTCCTGTATTATATCCTTGTATGCAATCTTTCTTTTATATATTTCCACCTCTGAATTAACTAATTTAATGAATCCGGTGTCCATCTTGTTGTGTTAATGAGGTATGGCAACTTGGACCGATGCATATATATGCCTAATCCTACGTTGTATCTGATTGACTGACTGACAATACAAGATTTAATGTATAAATTTCAAGTGTAAAAAGCAAGCTCAATACTGTGTTAAGCTATCACCTTAGATCTGTTCAACATTATCATAAAATTATAAAGAAACGTACACTATGGTTATTAGTAGTTATGTGAAAACTTATAAAGCTTATGACTTAAGATAATATCGAGGCAATCCGCACACGATACATATATGCCAACAAGAGACTGATCAATTGTAGACCTAAACAACAATCGGAAGATACAAGTAGGCAACATCAAGTGAATTTAACCGTTCACCCCATTCCACAAGCAGGTAGCTATCACGACTCAGTTGCTAAGTGGATAACATGATAACGTTTAAAACAAATAGTAATGGGTTCAAATTCCACAGTGAACAGCAATATATCTGGGATACAGGTACATCCAGCCAATGAGTCCCAAAAATAGGACGAACCGCATGTCCTTAATTCCACTGTTAGCAACTATCCATCTTTGCTTAAAATACCAAGTGAATTGAATAGTATTCAAAGTAGTGATATCATCAACAATCAATAAACCAAACCACCTGCTTTTACTCATTTGCATAACAATAATAATAATGGGCTACTTATTGTTGATTTAACTTAGTAACTGTATGGATAAATTTTTTTTCATTCTTTTAATCATTAACTTTATTTATTTTGAACACAGCGGGAATTCTTTAAAATGAAAGTTGAATATTCAATATTCAAGTTATACATTTATGTGATTGACCTATGGCATGTTTAAACGTGTGTATCATTTGTTTGTTTGTTATAGATAATAAATGAACGATGTAACCTGTTATCAACCATTATGATTAGTAAACATGGCGAAACTATGAATTGTGAATGGACCAATCAGATTTAAGATAACAGGTCTTGGATTTTAGCGCGAAATTCATTTACTCATTTGACCAAATAGTATCTTGGCATTTTAGCTGTTATCAGTTTGTGATGAAAAATTGTAAATCTAATTCCTAATCCTAATCATCGGTTGTGATTCATAATTCTTATTCTTCAAACTGTTTTACAACCCTCATTTTGCCTTAGTAATTAGGTAGACAATCTCAAGGTCACTTTGGCGTCACTCATAGGTCGTCCATAAATTATAATCTCACTGTAAACATTGAAGAAAATTGGAATAATAATAATAATACTAGTAACCGATTATATTCTGAGACAAGTTGACTCTGTATATCTAACTATATATAAACATGTTGCCATATTGGTGTATTGTTTTTATATTTGTATGTATGTAAGTATGTATGTGTGTTTGTGTTAGTCTGTGTATCTAATCGAATTCTAGAACTCACGTTTTTTTAACATAAGACTTTTCCTCAACTTTCATTCACACAACCAAAAAATAACAAATATTTATGTCGGAAGGGTTTTTGTGCATATTGTAATAATTTCAATGATTGAGACCATCATGGAAAACATGGAAGCACTGGATGGCCGTTTCGTCCAACTGTCAAACTCGTCAGAAGTGCACATCCGTGATCCCACCTCGCGAGATTCCAACTCAGGACCTGTAAGTCTCGTGAGCGAATGCTTAACCTGTAGATCACTGAGCCGACCGGCATTCAACGATGTTAATGTTTAACTTCAACAAATCCACGAAATTGAGCAACACATCCATCATTGTCATCAATGAGTTACTATCTCACAACAGACATGGTCGAACTCCACTGGTCGGTAATTCTCACTAGAACTCCAGGAAATACCTCTCAAAGCAAATTACAAGAATTCATTCGTTTGTTTTCTTAACTAAGTAAATCAGTTTATTAACTGTTTTTTCATTACGTAATAGATTGAACTATTGATCTTACCTGATCCATTGAATGTTGCTTAAGTGTTTCATCATTCAAAGCTATTAATTCTGATGATCCTCTACAACTGTGTGTTTTATCCATTATATCTATACTTCCATCAGCTAATCCTCTTGGACCTAGTTTTTTAATAGAATATGATGTAATACGACTATCACTTAGACGACGTTCACCTTGTAATAATTTATTATTTCCAACATAAATTACTGTATCACAGGATTGTTCACCACTTGATGTACAATCTAATTCAGAACTACATGATCCTAATGATCTAGCATATGATAATCGACCAAGTCTTGGTCGTCTATGTAGATGTTTTGATTGATTTACACGTAGAAAATCAGTATCTGTATCGTTTGATGTTGATGAACCAATTTCCTCTTGACTTTTACAAGCATTCAATGATAATGGTAATGATAGTTCATGATCTTTAGTTAATGTACCAATATGATTGATAACAATTTTACGACGTCTAAGACGATTAATTTCCGTAGCAAGTTGTATAACCTGTAACAGAAAAATAAAGGAAACATATAGAATATATATATAGGATTATCCTAGTTTTTTATTTCTTATTATTTGAACACATACATAATGGTACAAAGGGGCACTGAATACATGTGCGCCACACAAGTCACTTGGTTTGTGTGTGCGTTATAATACTGCCCGGGTGTCTAAACTGAAGAAGTTGGATTTCTTAGGCAGCCACACCTGGAGCCTTTGACCTAAAGGTCTGATCCACAAGGTAGTGGAACAACATCAGGAGATACTGTCACATGGCAACTGGTGACCAACGATGGGTTCATACGCCAATTGTTCCTTAAACATCCTAGAGCTCATGTTCATCAATGGTTTGAAATCAGGGTTTTCCAACTCCCCTCGATGAACTGTCCCTGTCCAACAACCCGGTTAAAGCGACGGACATTCGCTTTTCATCCTCTCAATTTCGTAAACAACAGTAATAACACGAGAAGGTAGTGAGTAGGACTACCATGTCAGTGTTTATATGCACGTGGCCATGTGAGAGTATTTCGAGGGAGAGTGCAGACTCTGTCCACCATCTGCCGTATCAGAGCATTTGAGGGCCACTTTATAATGCTTAATAAATGTATAGTACCCAGCATTTTTGGTTATTTCCCTATCCAAGTGATGGCTATGTGTCGCATATTACAATGTATTTGCACAAAAGATTTTATTTCAAGACCTAAATTTCATCTTTTTGTGTTTTTGACCCAGTATGTCTGGTACCCTACCCTATTCAGAACAGAGTTTCATATAACTTCTGATGTTTGATTTGAAATGTTTAGTGATAATTACTCTCCAACAGGCAGTACTCACCCACTAGATGAACTGACATATGAAGAAAAATCTTAGATCTTAAATATTGGATAGTAAAATATACCGAAATTCCACACTCTCTTCCTCCCTTCCACCAATACTGTCACACGATTGTATAGTTATAGACATCTAAAGAAAAATCCTGTCTACCACTTTCGTGCAACTGAACTGTTTTCGCACAAGCATAACAGAGTGAAACCTAATGCTATGGGTGAATTACTGTATAAGGAGTTTATTACAACCAGAGATGTTCAGTCAGTCAGCTACAACGTAAGACCAGGCACATATATGCATCGATCCAAATTGCCATACCTCATTAGCACAACACGATGAACACCAAATTCATAGAAGTAGTTAATTCAGTGGGGTAATGTATAAAAGAAAGATTGTGTATAAGGATATAGTACAGGAAGAAAGAATTAGTTCCTAGAACGAAAGATATAAAGCAATTTTAATCTCTTAGTTTAAGGGAAGACAAAGAGTATATACACCTACGTCATCGTAATCGTTTCTGAGCCATGTCACCCACAGTCTCCAACTACTAATCGTCAAGATAACCACACGGACCCCAACCAAGTAGTCTGCATCTACCAACATGCCTCAGACTAGAAGTTGGTGACTTCAACGACTGATGCCACGTTTTAGTTTGGTCATTTCTAACTTTCTTCCAAACATCCCCAACACTAGTCAGCATTGTGCGTCGTGGTAAACAGTGTTCAGGCATACATAACACGTGACTCAACCATCTCAGTCGATGAAGATTCTCAACCTCATCCACTGATTTACCATCATTACCTAATACCCTATGTCTAACCCCACCATTACTTACTCGCTGATCCCATCACATGCGAGCAATATTTCTAAGACATCTGTGATCAAATACTAGTAGCTTATGAGTATCTTCTACCCTTAATGGCCACGTTTTGCAGCTGTGAAGTAGAAAAGAACGAACTACCACGCAGTATACTCATCCCAGAGAGATGTTAGATAATTTTAATGTTCATAATTAAATAATCTCTTGAACATTTACATACTTATAATTAATCAATACAACTAACCTGTAATGTTTCTGTATAATATTGTACATTTTCAGATATATGAGCTAAGATACATGGTTGAATTTGATTGCCAGTTATTGCTTCACGTAATAAATAAGTAAGTGAAGAATCATGATATGGTAATTGTCGTCGACCAGTTAATAAAGCTAATAAAACACTACCAATACCAGATAAAGAAAGAGCTTTTGAAAGTGTTCTATATTCTATAGACTTTAATTCTTGATTAAGGTTAGTTGTACAATTGGACAGTGAATCTTCTGAAGTTGAAAATTTCGAAACATTATTACTATCACTAGAAGTAGGAGAATGGGAATTAGTAGTATTGTTAGTGTTTCCATTTTTATTGAATTTTGAATGATTATTGAAATTTGAATTATTTTCTGCTTCAACACATTTGTTTACATGAATTGAATGTTGTCCATATCTTCCACAACCCAAATCAAGGAAATGAAATTTCGTTCTACCACCGGAAACTAGTTGATCAATAGAAATAACATATATTATACATAATGAATAAGAAATGTATTGTAAATTAAGTTTGTTTGTTATTTGTCTAATCTAAACACGATTATCATGATATAATGACAAATAGAAATACTTATTACATACTGACAAAAGCCAGGTGGGCTTTATCCTGACTTCCAAAATCTTCAGTCACTCAGTCAGTAACAACGAAGAACTTCGTACGCACGTACATCAGTTCGAATTGCCACACCACATTAGCATAGAGGTGTAGTGGTCGATTCAAATCCCGTAGTAGTAGTAGAGGTAATAAGAGTATAAGCAGTAATCGGGAAGATTAGTGTTTGGAGATGTTATTTAAAGAGTATAATACAGTGAAATAAATTTGAGAGGAGAAAGAAAAGAGACAAGGAGGAATAAGGAGATCAAAATTTGGGAGAACACAAAGAGTAGATGCACCTGCGCCATTGCAAACGATTTTGAGCCATGTCATTCAGGGTCTCTAACCATCGGTTGCTATCATCTCGCGGTCCCCAACCAGGTAGTCTACACCTACCAACATGACTCAGACCAATTGTCAGTGACTTCATGGAATTGTGCCATGTTTTGGTCTGGCCGCCCCTAGCTTTCTTCCAACCTACTCCTATACCACTGAACATCGCACTTCGAGGCAGTCGGTCGTTGGGCATACGTAACACATGTCCAAGATATGTAAAGTGAGCCAAGGGCTTGATTAAATCAGACTTCGTAATGGTTAGATTAGGCATACAACGGTTAAAGACGACATTTTAAATTTGAAAGAAGTCAAGGTCATCTCAAGAATGTACACATCCGTTCGTATTGTTCAGAAATCCATATATTTTTAAAATTTTCCATGAAACAGAAAGTAGTTGTCTGTGTCTACGCGATAAATTAGCAACTGATTATTCCGGAAATAATTGTTAATACAGTTAAAATACAGACACAAAATATGTTGTGTACGAGACGGCCGTCCAATGCTTCCAGGTTTTCAATGGTCGTCTAACACTGATCGATTCATGATCAATCAAAAACTCAACAGTTTCCATAACCCTATACTGAAGATTATATATATATACTATGCCTCATCCTACAAACAGTACACTGTAACTCTACATACACTTATAAAACAAAAACATGCGAACAATCCTATCCTGAAGCAAAACTCTTGAAGTTCTCCATATTTTTGTTATAAAAATTAAACTACTTAATAGTAAGCAAAAATATTAAACAAAAAATAAACGGTAATTTCGTTAGTGGCTAGCAAAGAAATTCAAAATCCCTCGTTTCATCTGATGTTGTACGATGTATCTTAGTGTTAATATTCACACTGAAGCCTAAGCCGACATCTACTGCCAACCATCAAAAGTAATCATAAACATAAATATTAACTTACTACTCATTTCACTGCTGTTATTCTCTAATTTACATTGATATAAATGTAATGTAAATAACATATGTGATAGACCGGATAAATGATTACAATTATGTACTGTACGATTTGATAATGCTGTATCAAGTAGATAAGCGGCTTTTTCAGCTGTTGATGCACGTAATTCACATAGATGTGATAATTTATCAATCATATGAGCAGAAATTGTTTGTGCCTTTTCATAATTTGTTCCCAGACTAATTTTATTCATGAATGATGATGATGATGATGAAGAAGAAGTTGAATTCTTCTGTTGCATTGGTCTATTTGTTGTTTGTAAATAATGACTTGGTGATTTATCAGAATATTCTTCATCATCTGAAATGAATGATAATTACAATTGATATAAGATTTTATCTGTAATGAGATGATAACAGATAACATGCTTATCAAGTGCTGAATATTATCTGAATCCTAGTAACTAAGTTTCACTATAACCACTAGCCTGTATTTTCTGCCTTGAAATGATCATTAGTAATTTCTCTAAAGATCTAAGTTGATAGTCAATTAAGTGAATTTCGAACAAAAGGAAAAAATTGCCTAAGTATTGATTGGCTCACGTTTATGTCATAGTTTTACCTTATCTAAACTAATAATAAATACGTTTCAACTTTGAGATGATGCTCCTACGAATGTCTTCGTCAGCATGTTCTAACAGCAAGTGCAAACTGCAGACCTCCAATAAACTACTCAATGGGATAAAGAATAGCTAAGTAAAGTGGAAGAAAAATGATACACCTAATGATAACTGATGCACATTACGGGATACGCATATACCAACAAGTCATAGAGGACCAAAAGATGAAACTACAAAGGATACTCATGTCAGAACATTTGGAAATCTTGACAACAGCTATCGAAATATCATGCAGACGATACAGAGGACAGTGCCTTTGTTGGGGACGTTAGATCCCCAGAACTCACTTGGGAAAGGACCTAATTTTGTAATTTTATTTAGAAAATTTGAATTTCTTTGTTTTCGTGCCAAAGGCGCTCTTGTCACCTTCATGTCGTATTTCCCACTGGGAAATATCTTAAATGCTATTGGTCCGTTGTGTCTTTTAGTATGCTATTTGGTAATTCTCCCCAAGGACGGTTTTGTACTGTATATATATGTTTGAATTGTGTTTGTTGTTACCGCTCGTTTTTGGCTGTTTGCAGAATATATTTCCCCATTTCAAGCTTGGACTTCTCCCTCTAGTTAGCGGGTCTGGGACGCATCAATAGCTAGCTTACTGGTCTTTGGTCACCGAGTCTTGTGTCTCGTTCGTAGATTCAGTGAACTCGTAATAGCTTCAACCCTAGCAGCCTTCTACTGATATCAGTTCACAAAATAATAATAATAATAATAATAATAATAATAATAATAATCCAATTACACTCACATGATGCTTTTGTATTTGCTAATAAATCACGAACTTCTTCATTTAATCCAGTAATTTCAACAGCTGATATTCTTATAGAAAATCGTGTATTATACCATTGTTTTTGATAATTTAATAATTGATATAACCAACTTATTCCACATGGAATAATACCACATTCCATTGGTGAGTAATCATAACCAATCATTGAGTGTGTTTTACCTGAATATGGAACAAATATATACATATATACAATAAATACTGTGGACACTTAGTCATTGAATTAATAACGTATGAACCTATTGTTATTCACCGGTTGTCATGGGACTGCATCTTCTAACATCGCTCCATTGCCTTATGGATTAGACCTCTAGGTCAAAGGTTCGGAGAGTAGCCTCTTAAGGAAACCACCTGCTTCGGCTTAGGCACCCAAGCAATAAACCAGCTTTCATACAGATAGAATGATTTGTGTGGCACATATGCATTCGGTGCCTCCTTGTACCGATGTTTATGTGTTTAAATAAATTCGTTGGTTGGTTGAAGTAAAACATTAACACCGTTGAATGCCGGCCGGTTCAGTGGTCCAAAGGTTAAGCGTTTGTGTGCGTGACCGATAGGTCCTAGGTTCGAATCTCGTGAGGCAGGATCGTAGATGCACACTTCTGAGGAGTCCCATACCAGGATGAAACGGCCGTCCAATACTTCCAGGTTTTCCATGGTTGTCTAGCTTCAATTGACTCGTGAATTCAATTTTTAAATGAACTATCATAGGATATGGAAATCAGTTGGTCCTCAATTATTGACTAGCATTTAAACAAGTATTATCCTAAATGTTTATCATATCGACAAAAAAAGCAGTTAAATCCACGTTAAATGAGGTGTGTATGTGTGTAAGAGAGAGAGAGGGAAAGAGAGAAACGAAATGATTGTTTCGCACTGAAAAATGAACGAAGAATTAACAATTGATTGACATTTATTCAGTAGGATTGATTTATCATAACAAGAAGCATTCAATTTAAGATTCATGAACCACATAAATTCACTTGGTATTGTTTTATTTGAATATTCCCATTGATGTTTAAGACTGAAATTGGTCAACCTCTTATTGATATTTGTGCAATACGCAATGACGTTTGAAGCGAACGGTACTGGGTTCGAGTCCCAGAGTGAAAATCAACTCTGAGGTGCATTTACATGCAGCTGACGAATCCCGAATGGGACGAAAGGTGTGTCCTGGATTCGACTGCTTTTAATGCTAGTGAACCACATATTTCAATATTTAAGACCGAATGATACCAATAATCACATTTGTGGGTGATTGAAGATAACTGATAGCAGGTTATGCTAGACCTGGTCTCATGTAAGCTGACACTAATCAGAAATGTTGATCCCTAGCCTTGAGAGCACTGGTACTTTAGGTTTCAAATCCCACGGGAACCATTAGTTCTGTCATATAGAAATTTCTACCGATTACTCCAATTCATCTAACATTCAAACATAAATTACATATGTTCATCGGTCCAAGTTGCCATACCTCATAAGCACAACAAGATGAACACCGGATTCATAGAAGTGGTTAATTCAGTTAATGAGAAAAACACAGACCAACTTACCAGTAGCTTTATGTCCAATAGTTAGTATACAACTATCTTTTCCATTCAACACAGCAGATAAAGCATCATTGAGAACCATAGTATAAAATTCTCGCTACAGATCGTATATTTATTTGTTTGAAAAAAAAAACAAGAAACGAAAACTTTGAAAGTATATTAAATGTGGATTGGTTGAAGTCAGACATTAATACCTTCTGGATGTCAACTCGATTGTTTACAGGTTAAGCATTCGCACGCGAGACCGATAGAACCTGGGTTCGAATCCCGCGGGGCAGGATCGTGGATACTCACTACTGAAGAGTCTTACACTAAGACGAAACGGTTTCCAAGTGCTTCCAGGTTTTCCATGGTGGTTTAGCTTTAATTGACTCATGACCTCAAGTATTAAGTTATCTATAACTTGAACTAATGTTTACGAATGTTTCAATTAAACACCATAGTTTACATATTGACAACTAACCAAAGCAAAGTGACATGCTAAAAACAAAAAAATTGAGTACTTATTGAAACATTGAACATAATCCTATATCTTCTCATTACACTTTCCATTAGTCGATTTTATTAATTCTCTTCGAAGTATACATTTCTTATGCTCACATATCTTTCCTCTTTTCTGTTTGTAATCTTATCGTTTTCCCTACTGTTTCTCTTTCTTGCTCCGTACTACTATCGATTTGGACTGTTAAAGACTCATGACATGGTTCTGCGTATAATTCTACACATATTCATTATTGATTGGCTGGAGACAACTAGTGAGAAGCTACGACTGTTAATATCTGTTGACAGTTTTACTCACTGTCACTATGAATGATATGGGTTCGAATCTTACAAGAAGCGTACACTCCTTCCAAATATACCATAATAAAGAGTTTTAAATTTCATAGAAGCTTGGTCAAACAGAGCTTTATGTTAAATCCTTCTAGTCACCAACTTATATCCAAACATGGTGTACAAGATATTGAGTTACTTAGATTGATGTTCACAATCCAATTTAATCGATAGAATCTAATCAGTATGAAAAGCCAAAATAAACATCATATTAGTCGCTAATCACTACTGCATCAACTGTAAATACCTCAGTCTTACAGGAAGTCATTCGTTACTCGAATATAGCAGTGATAAATTCTTTAAAATGTAAAGTTGAACGAAGCATACTTGAATCCGATCATCAATTTCCTCAACATTCCAGATAAATCATGTTGACAAACCCAAAATAGCACGAAACCTGAGTCTATGGTTTCCTGTCAACTATCTCTAATCACATCTAAACATTATCCAAATGGATTCTAAATGTACACAGAAAATACATTACATATAAAGTTAACACACAAACAATAACATACTTTCAATGTATCCTGTGTTACAATATTATCAAATTTATAATTTCTTACGACGCCACCAATTCCTCGTCTACGACGTGATGGTGTAGGATCTAACAATGTAATAATTCTTTTATTCTCATCAATTTGAATACAACTTGATGAAGATGAATTCGATGAAAAATCACAAGTATTTTTGTTCACTTTTAAATGTATAGTATTTAAAGGATTATTTGATGATAATAAACTCCCAATTGTATTCAATGCTGTTGTGGCCGTTATCGCTAAACCTTGATTATTATGATTATGATTACGATTATTATATTCTTGATTTATGCAGATAATGACTTTGACCTAGTAAATAAAAGTAATGCATTTTTACAGAATGTATATAATTAAAACAGTAACTGGAATGTTGAATAAATAGAATGTGGCATGCAATGGATTCTAAGACTCGTCTATTGTCATATTTGTAATTCGTCAGCTGAATGTACCTGCATTCTAGAAATTTACATCCACTCCAGCACTAGAACAGAGTTCGTTCACTACAAACAACATCATATTATCCACTCAGCAGTTATTGATTACAAATAATCCAAAAGTGAGTATCAACTATGGGATACAGGGAAATCCGAATGACTAGCATCTAGAAGAAATGAAACGAGAGTCGTGGATTCCACTGCTAGCTGCATTCCATCTATTCTAAATTAACTTGTATCATAATGATAATATCAAGACAATTCGTACAAGCTGCACATATATCAACCGATACAAATCAAATTTCAGTCAAAATGATAACAATTGGATAATTCAATCCAGTTCTCTATCTATAACTTCTACCTGAAGTTTGTGCTGATGATGTCGTTCAGAAGAACAATGAAAGCTCCACGACCAAACCATCCAGTTCAGAGAACAAAACTCCATCAAAATTATCCACCTGAGCTACAAATATTTTCCACCATCTCAGACAATTCGTACAAACTGCACATATGTCAATCGAGACAGATCAAATTTCAGTCAAAATGATAACAACAGGATATTTGAAATCACTTCAGTTCCAAGTATTTATAATAATACTACTAACTAGAGAAAGAAAAGCTAAGTTACTTAAGTCATTAACTGTAATGCCTTTACTAATTATAATACTAATAACTCATCTATAAGATAGAACTGAGAAAGGCTGATATATTAAAAATCAATTAAAATCGGGAAATGTGACTTACTAAACTCCAACTCAGTGATTGAATAGTACAATGGCATAGTTAAGTGTTTTAAATAAAACTGAAATAGTTATAGGAAATTGTAAAATTTTAGGTGATATCTTCAAGTTAGTCAGTCGGTCAACAACAACGTAGAACTTCTTACTTATGTACCTACATCAGTTCAAGTTGATATACCACATTAGCACACAAATACAATTGTCCATTCAAATCTCAAAGTGGTAGAGGTAGTAGAAGTAGAAGTAGTAATTGGGAACATTAGGGTTTGAAGGTGTTATTCAAGGAGTATAATTTAGTGAAACAAATTTGGAAAGAGAGAAAATAAAGGGACATGAAGAATTCAGAAGATTAAAATTTGGGAGGACACAAATAGTGGATGCATCTGTGCCATTGCAAACGATTTTGAGCCATGTAATTCAACATCTCTAACAATCTGCTGCTGTCGTCTCTCGGATCCCAAACAAGTAGCCTACACCTATCAACATGTCTCAATCACCTTAACAATGACTTCATGGATTTATGCCATGTTTTGGTCAGGCCAACCCTAGCTTTCTTCTAACCTACTCCTACACCACTGAACATCGCACGTCGGGGCAGTCGGTGGTTGGGCATACGTAACACATGTCCCAGTCATCTCAACTGACTACGTTTCAATTGATGTGCCATCCTTACCTAGTACTCATTTCCTAACAACTGCATTAGTTACTCGGTGGTCCAAGGATGTATGAGCAATGCTTCGAAGACACTTATGATCGAATACTAGTAACCTACGAATATCCTCTACTCTTACCGGCCATGTTTCACAGCCATAATGTAGGACCAAACGAACTGCTGCACAGTAAACCCGTCCTTTAGTTGGTACACGGATATCCTGCCTTCATCATTGGTGACGTAAGTTGGCACAAGCCAAACGAAGTTTCTGAATCTGTTCAGAGATTTCGTCAGACACCAACCCATTAGAGCTGATCAGACTTCCAAGATAAGGGAAGTTGTCAACGCGTTCGACTACTTCCTTCTCTAAATACTGACTATCCCCTTTACTATGCAATAATATTTATATGCATATTATGAAATTACTATACCAATCAAGCTAGTATATGAGTCAGTGATTACAGTGGAATAAATAAGCAAAATATGTAAAAATTACAAATTGATAGTATTATGATAGATGTAGTAGCTGTGATAAGAATAACGAAGGCTTGAATTCATATTTCACAATGGGAAACACGTCAATAACTTGAACAATATATAAATACTGAAATAACATTCATAAAAACTATAAGATTATGTAATAAGAAGGACTCAAATCATTGAACAGTGAAGCGTATATTTGAAAGACGAAAAAGAGGGAGTGAAGAAAAATAAACGAACAAAGAGTATCCGGACTACTATAACATAGGACCAGGCACATATGGGCATCAACCCTAATTGCCATACCTAATTAGTACAACAAGATGAACACGGAAGTAGTTAATTCAATGGTAGTGATATATAAAAGAAAGATTGTATATAAGGACATAGAACAAAGAATATAGAAAATAATAATAAATAAAATCTTTTATTCAGGTTAATATAGGCAAGAAAAACATAAAGATGGAACCAATTTCTAATGAAGATAAAGACTTGGATTATTAGTTCGAATTACTATAGCTTCTGTTCTATGTAAGAGACGAGATCGAACCCCGTAAGGGAAATTAGTAGGAATAATATAAATGTAATTTAAATAATCTATTCCTATCTATTATATGACTGCTATCGATCAAGTGTGATCGAACAAAGCTGTGTGGTCGATAGAATTCAATCTGCACTAAGAAGGACCTGATACATATGACATTGATCACCACTCAGTGATTAATCACTTGTAGAGCTATGCATTGTTTTGACGGTAGCCTTTCCTAACCACAAAGGGAAGTATTTACTAACTCGTTGACTCATTTCTCTAGTCGTGCGTCCAAAAAATAAGAAGAAGAATCTAACAGCATAAAATAAATAAATAATAAGCGCACTGCTGAAGAGTCCCATACTAAGATGAAACGGCCGTCCAATGCTTCCAGATTTTCTATGGTGGTCTAGCTCCAAATGATTCATGATTTCAACTATTGAAATTACTAAAATCTTCACAAAACCCCTTCTGATAATAATCATCTGCTCACTAGTGACTGACTTCAAGAGGCATTTCCTGGAGTTCTGGTGAGAAGTAGTGACCAGTGGAGTTCAACCAGTTCTGTTGTGAGATAGTAACTCACTGATGACAGTGGTGAATGTGTCGCCCAATTTCGGTGATAAGTTGAAGTTAAACATTAACGCCATTGAATGCCGGTCGGCTCAGTGGTCTACAGGGTAAGCATTCGCTCATGAGACTTACAGGTCCTGAGTTGGAATCTCACGAGGTGGAATCATGGATGCGCACTACTGAAGAGTCCCACAGTTGGACGAAACGGCCATCCACTGTTTCCATCTTTTCCACGATGGTCTAGCTTCAATTGAGACTCATGAATTCATGAATTATTAAACAATAGTTCTTTACTTAACTAATAATTCCATAAGAATAATCTAAAAGAATTTCTTTCATTTTCCCAGTCTACATTAGATATTGCCACGTCACAAAGACAACTCATTTTATAATCGAACAAAGCATGAAAATAAAATAAAAAAGAGGGAAACCATTTCTCCATTATCTAGAATTCATATTAATACTCATAAACACAATTTCTCTCTTGTATTTTTTGTTTTAATTGCATAACTATTGAACATTGAAATAGGTATAAACGAATTTGACTATTAGGTTCATTCCTTTTCAGTCATGACTCATCACTATTTGAATGGATATACACATATAATAATTCCCCCCTTCATTCATAAAAACAAAGAAACCAAAAGTAACTGAGTTTTATGTAGAAACAAATAACCTAGAAAATTATCTTACTCACTTTTTCCCCCCTCTTCATTATATTTATACTTTCTTTCATAATCATTTAATAAAGGGGGGAAATGACGACTACTACTACTACTACTACTACTACTACTACTACTAATACTAATACTAATACTATACAGATTACTGAAAGACAATAAAAGAAAAGAAATAGAGTCAACCATCCGAATATTTTTGCGCCTGAAACCATTAAGCTGTCTTTTAAATTCTAGTTTAACTAAGTTGAATCATCAATCTAGGTCAATGGATAGGCAAATAAACAAGCAAACATTCAAGAAAATAACACTAGACGATATACACAAATAATAGTCTGTTAAGTATGAAACTTCTTTTTTTGACAGACTGATATATTTCTGTTGGGTTAAGTTGAATATGATAGACTATCCTTTAAATGTAAGTGAATTTAAATGTGTAAAACAATAACATTCAAAGATGGATAGATCTATTTCATGTCTCACTAGAAGATGATATACATCTACAATTGATTGATCACTGGATAGTGATCAATGTCATTTGTGTCAAGTCCTTCTTAGTGCAAATAGAATGCCAAGATTACAGGTACATCATGCTGATGAGTGCCAAATAACATGAAACCTAGGTCCACAGTCTCCTGTTAACTATCTCCAACCACCATCTTACGATATACATAGGTTGGAAGTTTATAATTAATAGTGCCTAAAAACCAGTATCATATATGATGAAACTACCAAGTGAGTAATGTTTATGACGGTCAGAACCATCATTGATTGAAATAGATTAGATATATTTTAATCCACTGTCAGTTGCAATACATAATGATGGCTAGCATCATACTGGGAGAAAGTGAACAAAAGTCAAATATGTCATATCACCAATGTATGCTCGTGCACTACCCCATAAGAAAATCATCCGCTTCGATTTGGGCACTCGGACAGTATCCGAGCGCTCACACAAATCAAATGATTTATATGGTGCATATCCTTAGGAGGCCACACCCGGAGTCTTTGACCGAAAGGTCTAATCCACAAGGCAATGGAGCAACATAATGAGATGCTGTCCCATTGTAGTCGATGACCAACAATAGGTTCATACGCCATTTGGTCCTTCAGGATACTGGAGCACATGTGCACTATTAGTTTGGAATCAGGGTTTTCCAACTCCTCTAAGTGAACTCCCTGTGTCCACCAACCCGATTAAAGCGACGGACATCCGCTTTCCGTCCTTTCAGTTTCGTAAACAACAGTAATCCCGCGAGAAGTCAGTGAGTAGGACTTCCCTGTTAGTGGTTGTACGCACATGACTATGTGAGAGTATTTCGAGAGGTAGAGTGGACTCTCCCCACCCTCAGCCGTATCAGGGCATTTGGGGGGTTTATGCGAAAGTAGAATCTTAAATAAATATTTTATGTAATGAATAGATTTCTTGAATTTTGTCAACTTTTGATTGATGAATTATTATTTCATTAAATCAACCCATTATCATTTAATCGACCTTGTATTCACTTGGTGAATGAACAAGCATACTTACAAGTTGTATAACATTAACTTAATGTATTGTCTGTCGATAACCTACAATCGTCTTCCTATTCTGTCAGCTATTCGAAAAGTGCACTAGACATTCATAAAGAGTGTATTCAAACTCATTAATCATGTGATGTTCCCAGTTAAAATAACGAGAAACACGTGACATGGAATTCAGAATATCTTTAGACTATTGCTTCGCAATAAAATAACCTCAAAGTGTTGCTATGGAGATGATCAACCTTTTTTCAGTGTTTAGTAAAATTGCAATATTTTCCGTTCATTTAATGCATTAGTGTTGTTTAAAACAGTGTAACTTTCATTGGCTACTTCATTTTAATGATCTAAAGCTATCCACACTTGTCTATTGTGAATATAACATTGTAGTGTATCACAACTTCCAAGATGAAGAAAGTAACCAACATGAAAGTTAAAACTTGAAATAAAATCTCCAATGAGAATTATACTCTTATATGTAGAACTAACCTGTTAAATGAACTGAAAACTGTTAGATATTATACGCATATTGAACATTAAGAGACAGTTGAGCTACAAATTCATGGATATTTACCCCACCCCAAGTGTTGTAACCTATTTATGGAGTACAGTTGTACTCGTTTTTGAGCTATGGCGTTTATGTGTATAAAGCATTATAGATTCTATCTGGTTGCCTAAACCAAAGTATCTGGGGCACATTTCAAATCTACTATCTACTGGTTAGGAGGCTAATCTCTTTAATCACTATCATAAATCTATGAATTATCCTTTAACTTTGATCCCATCTATATTCATAAGGATGAAGTTTACTAACAATGATTACAAATATACCTCATTTCATGTCAATTCATTATAAATATCTATATCAAATTCTAAAACAAGAACAACAACAACAACAAAAGAAACGAAAACATCTTCAATACAAAACGAAATGTACACTAACTTTTCCAGTTGAATTTGCATTGACATTTGATCTTGACAAGATAGGTGTAGATGTTGTTGTTGTTGTTGATGTTGTTGTTGCTGAAGTAGATTTAGTAAATCCTAAATAATTCAATATATCACCGGGTAATATTGGAGGATTAACACGTAATAAATATGAAAATGTATAAGTATTTTGTTTATTACATAAATTTGTACAACAGTGTGAGATTGGAGACGAAGATGATGATGATGAAGAGGTAGAAGTCATAGAAGATAACAATGATTTTGAATTTATGCTTTGTTCAAATGTCACTGAACGTTTAATCATTTTTTTATTTTGTTTATTTAATAAAGATGATGGTGACGATGATGATGACGGTGGTGGGGGTGGTGGTGGTGTTGCTATGAAAGGTGGATGTTTTAAATTGTAGGAATCCTTTTTGAATTTCGATGACATTATGATTTATGATTAAATGTAGATTTAAGTGAACTGGAAGAAAAAAAAAAGAGAAGGGAAACAAAAGGTTAATATGTTAATCGAATTGAACTATAAACGATAGAATACAATGAGATACAATGATAATATACATTAATAAATGTCAATTCTTGTTATAGAGTTAATTAATACTGATAAAAAGAATTTGAATTATTTTTCTGGTTAGCGTTTCTTTTTTTTAGCGAGTTAGTTTTCTACGGGATGGGATCGCTAACCACATGTCCAACCATCCTCTTTTACCCGGGTTTAGAACCAGTAGTAACTCTAGAAGAGCTACAAGTGGGAAGCATCATCGATGAACAAGGAGGATCAGATACAGACGGAAAGGCGAGGATTGCAAAAGTAATTACAGCATTCTTACCATTGAAGAATGTATGGAATTCAAAATAACTGTCTATCGACCAATATCAAAGTCACAATCTTCAATACGAACGTCAACACAGATCTACTATACAGAGCTGGAACTTGAAGAACTAATGCATCCATCAGCAAGAAGGTATAAGTATTTATAACTAGCTGTCTACGCAAAATACTCAACATCCATTGGCCAGATACCATAAGCAACAACAGCCTACTGTGGGAAAGAATAAACCAGCTTCCGTCTAAAGAGGAAATTAGGAAAAGGCGATGGAAATCGATAAGACATGCATTGAGGAAATCACCAAACTGCATCACGAGGCAAATGCTAAATTGGAATCGTGAAGGGAATGGGAAAAGTGGATGGCCAAAGAACACATTACATGGGGAAATGGAAGGAGATATGAAAAGTATGAATAAGAACTGGAGGGAACTGGAAATGATGACCCAGGACGGGGTTGGATGGAGAATGCTAGTGGTTGGCCTATATCCCTCCACGAAGGTTAACAGGTGTAAGTAAGTGAATAACAACAGAATATAGTTGATGAACTGGTTAGTGTTTAGTATTCTTTATAATTCTAATTAAACATTATTTTGTGTCATGATATCTTATGATAAATCAGATGAAGTAGGTCTATATTCAACATTGACTAAATAAATGGATTATGTTCACTTAGAACATTGAAGAAAGTGCACTTATGTTTACCACGACACACTAGGCAACAAAACAAGTATACAGATCATAATAATGGTGACACTATAATTTATATACAACCTACAAGAGACGTTAAAGTGACCTTTAGAATCTCCATCTACTTACTACAGCTAAATGAGTATTATAAACCTTTGTGAAGGATAAGGTTTATGATTTACAGTTGATGGTTAAGTATAAGGATTAGATTTAGGGTTTTCATCACAAACTAACATGAGCTAAAAATGCCAAGACGCTATTCACGCCGAAATCCAAGATTTGATTAGTTCGTCCATAAATTATAGTCTCGCTCAGATTCTCATCAATTATAGTCAACCTACAACCTACCATAGATATATGTTTTAATCCAAGTTCCAACACTGAATAATCACTCTATTAATAAATTAATAAGGCATATAGTAAATAAGTAGTATTAATAGTAGTAATATAGTTTGAAAAGAAAGAACAGAATTTATTGAATAAAAAGTATGAAATAATCAATATTGAAACTTAAAATTTAGATAAATATGTATGAATACATTTGCCATGTTACGACTAATTTGAACATACATTATCAACCGATGACTTCAATGATCTTTCACAGATTGAAATCATGTGTCAATTGAAGCTAGATCACCATGGAAAACTTGGAAGCACTGGACGGCCGTTTCGTCCTAGTACGGGACTCCTCAGCAGTGCGCATCCACGATCCCACACCCCGCGAGATTCTAACCCAGGACCTATCAGTCTCGCGCCAAGCGCTTAACCAACTAGACCACTGAGTCGGCATCCAATTGTGTTCAATGATCTTTACCAACCAGTACGGTTGTATAATCTAACATTCATATTCAATAATCTAAAGCGTACAAAAAACCCTATCTTGTATATTTTACATCAACTAAATAATCTCCAAATAGTAGAAGTAATTAAGTCTATGAATTCGATATTCATTTTGTTGTGCTAATGAGGTGTGGCAACCTGAACCGATGCATCTATGTGCCTGGTCCTAGGTTATAGCTGACTGATTGACTGACTGAGAAAGATCTATAACTTTGTAATGTCAATTATTGAGATTAGAGGTGAACAGTAGAACAAGTAACTAAGTTTCTGAGGATTCGACAATATTATTGAAAAACATCACTCATGCTATTCAAAAAGATGTGCTGAATATTTATATCCCGGAGTTTGTGTCTTACGAGTCGGGATCATGAATACACATTGCTGAGGAATCCCATACTAGGATAAAACAGCCATCCAGTACTTCCAAAATTTTTCCATAGTGGTCTAGCTTCAATTAACTCATGAATCCAACTACTGAAATATAAATATCTTTTTCTGAGTATTTGACTTGGGTAAGTTACGTGAAATTTAATATCCCTCATTTAATTCAATGTATACATTTAGACATTATATATAATAATATGTATATTCAGTGTTCAATTATATTGTTTCAACATTGAATACCTCATATTTTCAGTATTATTTAAATAGAATGACAGTTCGATACACATTCAATTGAATGTTAAATACATAAATTATCTATTGCCTATATATTTGTGTGTTCCAGTGTGTGTGTGTGTGTAAGAGAGTTAACTGTGTTTCTCCCTACAATGTCATTAAATTGTCTCTTTGTTCTTTGTTTGTTTTCAAATCCAGAAAGGTTACTACATCAGTTGTAGATATATTGTAGATTGGAAAAGTCAATGAATGTAACCGTTTTGTAAGTCCAGTTTTGTCATTGTTTCAAATGAACTTTTGTTGTGGATTTTAACTAATTGTTTAGTATAACTGAAATACTTACACAATATTATGATATAGTAAGTTAAACAACCCTCATCTAACGAATAATGAATTCATAGTACACCCAGTAAACGGTTTAGTGATTATTATGAATCAATAGTCTAGCTTGAATAGTTCTCTGTAGTTTGGGATGACGGATATTGGATTCAAATGTCAGCAAGAGTGGTAGCATTTGAATTCAAGTGAATTCACACCAAAAAGTTTCACATAATTAGTCAAACAGTTTTACGGGACGTAAGACATAGTTCACACATGCATCCACTATCTTCTCGTCCATAAATGCCCTGGTACGGCCGAAAGCGGAGAGAGTCAGTTCTCCCACTCGAAATGCTCTCACATGACCACGTGCATACAACCACTGTCAGGGAAGTCCTACTCACTGCCTTCTCGTGGCATAACTGTTGTTTACGAAATTGAGAGGTATATCTATACCATAGTAATTAATGTCAAGTTCTTAATAAGACAAAAAGGGAACCTTGAATTTCATTATTATTTAAATCAATTATCTTAAAATATATTAGTAAAGCCATATGTTGAGAATGTCATTCCCACTCCCCGCTATTACCCTGAACAGTTTAGATATCAGTCAGTCAGTCAGTCAGTCAGTAACAACGTAGAACTTTGTACGTACGTACATCCGTTCAAGTTGCCAAACCACATTAGCACAGAGATGCAGTTGTCGATATAATTTCTCTGACTGGGACCCTAAGTGAAATAGATTAACCTAACAACGAGGCAAAATAAATGTTTATTAAATTACAATATATATCTATTACATGGATTACCATTTACATTGAGTTATTTTTTCTGGCTAGCGTTTTTTTGTAACGAGTTAGTTTTCTACGGGATGGGGTCGCTATTCCCATGGCCAACTCTCGTCATTTAGCCGGGCTTGGGACCGGGAGTAACAGGCGTAAGTAAGTAAGTAACCATTTACATATGTGAAAACTTAGTTAAATATAGTTCTGTTAATTAATCTCAACTAACTACAGTAATAACTATAAAGCTCACAATAGAATTGTGAGAGTTTTTATGTAAATTATGTAGAAAATGACAACCAATATTACATACATCCTTAATTAAGCAGTGGTGCCTTAATGAGTAAAGTACTCGGCTTTGAATAAAACGATAAATATCATTATTTCCATTCAATTTGAAATGATTTGGATTATCCTGTTGTGATCATTTTGACTAAAATATGATCTGTCTCGGTTGACATATGTGTAGCTTGTCTCGATATTAGCATTATGACACAATTTAGAATAGATGGAATGTAGCTAACAGTGGAATCCATGACTCTCGTTTCATTTCTTCTTGATGTTAGTCATTTGGATTTCCCTGTATCCTATAGTCGATATTCACTTCTGGATTATTTGTAATCAGTAGCTTCTGAGTGGATAATATGATGTTGTTTGTAGTGAACGAACTCTGTTCTAGTGTTGGAGTGTATGTCAATTCTTGGATGCAGGTACATCCAGCTGACGAATGACAAATGGGACAAAAGATGAGTCTTAGATTCCATTGCTAACCACATGTCATCTACTTCGTTCTGATTACTGTTATCATGATTATGATTATTATTACTATTATTTTGAACCAAACTCCATCAAATTCGACTTGGACAGCCGGGCGGTATCTATAACTCTCATACAACTTATTGATCACTCAATAATGATCATCTTCATATTTGTTTAGTTTTTGTTGACCTAACTCTGTCGATCAAGTTGCAATTTGGCTACTAGTCCAAATAACTTGATACCGCGTGCACTATGCTGGGGTGTTAAGTTATTAGAGGTTGCCAACAGGTAACTCACACATGGTTTTATACAATGTAGGTGGGTAGTAGATGAACCTGTGTACTGAGATGACATATACAGATGAAAACCATGTCTTACGTTCCTTAAGACTGATTGACTAATTATGTGAAACTTTTTAGTTTGGATTCACTTGAATTCAAATGTTACCATTCTTGCTAACACTTGAATCTAATCTAATATGTTAAGTCTAATAATCAGGTCTTATATATGAACAAGTGACTGACCTCTAATCGCTTATAACAGTCAATTTGCGTATTTCCATTGTATATACAAACATACTATATTATCAAATAGCCATAATATACTTTTCTGGCTATTGATCATCTAAT